TATGTTATTTAAAGCTTTTAAAACTAGACAATGAAAATCCTTAATACTATGTATAACAGATTATTTAACGTCTTATTTATGTTTATGAATAAATTGATATTGTTTGATAATTGTATTTGCTAAGCTGCTCATCAATGCATACTGAATATGTTTCATAATCATTTATACCACTCACATGAAATGTTTATATTGTGAAAATGTATATGCTGGCATGTGCTGGTGGCCTTTTAGTCAATAAAATGTTTGTTTGTTAACCTTTAAGTGTGACCTTGACCTTAAACCAGCACAATGGTGGCATAGACTCAGCACAAAGCCTTGTTGAGATGGTCAATGACCCAAATCTGAAAAGAATCCTTTAAGTGATATAAGATTTTTAGAATGGTGATTAAGTGGTATAACATTTATAGAATGGTGGAGACAGATTGACTGTTTGACTCACTGACCCACAGTCCAATGCAACAAAGTGATTCCTTCTTATTTCATGCTTTCCAGTGTTTTATTGTAATATATCAGATGATTATATTCTGATAAACCACTAGTGAAATTTATAAAATATAATTTTCACTGTAGCCGGACTATATCTGAATGCGGATGAAAAGAAAATCATAACTAAATGAAATAACAAGCAGAAATAATTGCCGTCATGCGTAAATTTTGCTTCTTTAGGAAAAGAAAGTCGATTTCATCATACATCATATAAAAATGTAACAAAATTAGAGAAAATTAACAGAACTATATTTCAAAATTGATGATGTGACGTCATGATATGATGACGTCACATAGGGGAATGCGTGACGTTACGCGGCAAAATCAGTAAAAATATACTTAAAATCCCTTAAAAAGCATGAAATAAAAAGAAAATTTATTTGTTTTACATATAAGATTGAAATATATTTCATTCGTGAACACCAGCTATTATATTTTCACTCGTGGCTACGCCACTCGTGAAAATATTGCATCTGGTGTTCACTCAGTGAAATTATATTTCAATCTTACATGCAAAACAAACAAATATCCTCTATATATTTTTGTAGTGGGGTAATTTAATGACAAGTTATACAGTATTATAATCATAATTATACCAATTAGCAGTTTCCTAACAAACATACCTGGATTCTGTAATAATATTACCCAGGTTTACAGCAACTTTACAGTAACTGCCATTTAATTACATTATTTACTTGAAACAGAAGTTCAGGATGATCAGACTATTATAACATCAAAATGTCATAGACAACTAGAATATGACATAAAAATTATACTTAGGACTTGGACACAATCTTTAACTTGTATACAATTAAGTGACCTTGACCTCTCAGAGAGAGAGAGAGCTTGTATACAATTAAGTGACCTTGACCTCAGAGAGAGAGAGAGAGAGAGAGAGATACACTTGAATGAAGAATAGAAAATCTATAATGGTTAGTATTGGGGTATATACATGTAGATATGGGATAGGACCCCATTCCACCGTGATAATACAAAGGACTTGTTTGCAGCACAATATCTCCGCAAATGAAATTAATATGACCATGTTATTTTGCTGTTGTTGTTTTTTTTTTCAAGTATAATGGTTGAATATTCAATTTATGGTAGATCAAAATACAAATGCAATTACCTAGGCAGCTTGAGAAATGTTAGTTTGATAAATGACACCTAATGCTTAACAGATGTTATGCAATTAATATCTTTTAATATTTCTGTTTTACATCATACTAAAGAAATTAAAAGGTCCCTTTATAATAAATAATAAACCAACTCATCACTTTGGGAATACTAACCAAAACATTTGTTGACAACATCTCTTTATGCCCGAATCTTCAATGGAAAACCAAATCGCTCTTATGCTCAAAGCACGAACAAGGAGGTATAAAAAAAATTATACAAAATGTTTTTTCACCTTTGACTTGACAGCTTACAGCTGTAGGTGATACTAAACAGATTTCAAGGAATAGGAACACCATAATGCAGACACACAGAGCAGTACAAACAAGTTTTCTCAAAGTGTTTATTGCACTTTGAACTCTTGTAAATGCTTTACTCCTGCACGGCTGACTCTCAAACAAGTGAAAATTACTGCAAAAGATCCCTGCATGCAAATGCAATGAATCCGAAACTTTAAATAAGTCATGGCAGAGATGCATTACAATTTATAGATATTTCAATATACTTTCTGTATACAGAAAAAAGAAAAAACTGACTTTAAACTTCATCTTAAATCACCTGATAAAATTAAATCTATTCAAAATTTTCTTAAACGTCTTAAAATATCTAGTGCATAAGATCGCCATAATGGCTGCTGACCTAAGTGAAGACTGACTTCAATATTTGGCAGTAAGGGTTTTAATATTATGAAATTGTACATGTTCCATGTTTCTTATATATCTACAAACATAAATTCAATATTTACATAAAAATCATTAAGTAAGTACCATGCAAAGTTAATAAAGAGAAGAATTTCATGTGACATATTATGTCTTTCATTCTAAGGTCCTGTTCTTTAAAAACATTTGAAATGCTTTATATATTTTGTAAATTGTAACATGTATATATATTCTGAGAAATAAATTATGTTTAAACTAAATTAAATAAAATAAAGTTATAAATAATGTTGAAAAAGTATGCCTATGATTTGACCTTGTCACATCACATGACCCATTTTGAACTTGATTGGAAATAATAAAATAAGAGGATCAGGATGGCCCTAATATCACTTGTCCGTATAAAGGCCCCTGGGGCAGGACTTTTTTAACCGAGGGGCTTTTATTTGATCAAACTTGGTAGACACCCATTAGAAATGTTTCATGATAAATATCTAAGCTCTAGATCTTTGGGGTTTTCAAAAGAAGATTTTTTAAGTTTTAACTATACACATATAGGAAAAACAATGATTCCCGCCCCCGGGTGGGGCCGATATTGACCCCATAACTTATATTTGAACAAACTTGGTAGACACTCACTAGAAGATAGTTCATGCTTAGTGTCATAACACTAGCTCTTTAGGTATTTTTAAAGAAGATTTTTTAAGTTTTTACTATACACTTATAAGGAAAATCAATAACCCCGGGATGGGGTCAATTTTAACCCAAGGTTTATTTGAACAAATTTGGTAGACACCAATTAGTAGATGTTTCATGTTAAATATCTTAGCTTTAGCTCTTAGGCTTATTTAAAAAAAGATTTTTCAAGTTTTTCCTGTATTTATAAAGGGTAGACACCCACCAGAAAATGTTTCATGCTCTTGTTATTTTGGCTTTTTAAAAGAAGATTTTTAAGTTTTTACTTTTTACTGTGTACAAGTAAGGAAAATCAATGACCCCCCCCACCCCCCCGGCAGGGCCAATTTTGACCCCAGGGCTCCCAGGGCTTTTATTGGAACAAACTTGGTAGACACTGACTAGACAATGTTTCATGCCAAATATTTAAGCACCTCTAGCTCTTTCGATTTTTTAAAAGAAAATTTTTAAGTTTTTTCTTTTGGTTGCCATGATTTTGCATGGAATAAAATTCTTTGAACAATTTTAAAAGTTGACTACCAAAGGAACATTCCTGTTAATTTTGGATGAAATTGGCTTAGCGGTCTATGAGGAGATGTTGTTTAAGGTAAAAAATTACAGGCGGACACTGGATGTTTCATGCTTAGTATCTAAACTCTAGCTATTTGTGTTTTTTCAAATATGATTTTTTAAGTTTTTGCTATACACATTTAAAGCAAATCAATGACCCCTAGGGCGGGGCCAATTTTGACCCCAGGGCTCTTATTTGAACAACTTGGTAGACACCCATTAGAACATGTTTCATGCTAAATATCTTAGCTCTAGCTCTTTGGGTTCTTTAAAAGAAGATTTTTAAGTTTTTACTATATGCATATAGGGAAATCAATGACCCCCTGGGGCAGGGCCAATTTTGACCCCAGGGATTTTATTTGAACAAACTTGGTAGACACTCACTAGAAGATGTTTCATGCCAAATATCTAAGCTCTAGCTCTTTGGGTTTTTTAAAAGAAGACATTTAAAGTTTTTTCTTTCAGTTGCCATGGCAACCAGAGTTCTGCATGGAATTAAATTCTTTGAACAATTTTTAAAGGTGACCACCAAAGGAACATTCCTGTGAAGTTTGGATGAAATTGGCTTAGTGGTTTATGAGGAGATGTCATTTAAAGTAAAAGTTTTCAGAAGGCGGACAAACGACGGACGAAAAGCAATCACAAATTTTCAATATATTCTGAGTATATAGAGGGTCATGACCGCCCTGAATTGCTCATCTTGGATACATTTCTCTGTATTTTTCTATTCAACACTACAAAAACTAAGGGATCCTTTGGGTGAAGTCAATTTGGACCTTTTGATTTTCATTTTTTTGGTAACAATGCCCTTGAGTCTAGGAGACCAAAGCGATCCAAAGCAAGGTCTTCAAATAAGCTTGCTATGCACCAAGTTTGATTAAAATATCTCAATCCAAACAATTTATTGACTGGAATCTTGTTTGAAGCCAGCTGCCAGTCTGCCCATCCATCTGCTTGCCTTACCCCTTTCTAATAACCAGGATTTTCAAAAGTGAAAAGCTGGTCAATAACTTTAATGGAGGACCACAATGTGATGCTGAATACAAACTGTGTAAACTCTAGGTGTTGTACATTCAAAGAAGATTGTTAAGGCATTTTTATTATACAAGTAAACTAAGTGACTCCCTGAGTGGTGTACAATCTGATGATACATGCTAAGTATTTAAGCGTTGGACATTGTAAATTCTGATAAGATTTTTAAAAGATCTTCTTTTCTAATGTCTATTTTTTGACTCAAAAGTAAATTCAAGCGAGGTCTTCACTTAAGCTTGCTATACATCAAGTACCATAAAGATACATGTATGTCAATCTGAACTTGAATATTGGATAATTTAACCATTGTCATAAAAAAAACAGAAAATGATGTAGTCAAGCTAAAAATGCTTGTGCAGCTGTATTAAGAAATGTTCTTTTTTTTAACAACACAATGACACAAACCTTGACAACTGTAAAAGTGCCCCCAGCAGAAGCTGTGAACTTTTGTGAAATGTCATTATACTCTTGGCCGCCAGCCTGTAAAGATACAACTCTTAGATTTCCAGTCATATCTGTCCATAGTGCCGGTGCTTCAAATGTTCCCTCTATAAATAAAGTAAATATATAATTTTTATATATATCTACATTACATAAATACAAACATTTGGTTACAAAAATGTTTGGCATTCAATGACAGTGCTGTTTTAAATAACACATTTCTATTACGTAAATAGCAAAAAGAAAATGACTGTAAAATATCACATTTTTAAAAATATTACTGGAAAAGATTTCCTGAAATATTCTCCAAAATGTGTATTTGAGAAAGAAAAGTTACAGTTATCTAAAACCGCGGCACAGGAGTGTAAAAAAGCCATTTAATAAAAACGATATTACACTAGTATAATAACACTTTGACGTGACGTCATTTGCGCTATATAGAAATATAGCCTTAAAACCAATAATGTTAGCGTTACACTATAGGCGATTGAAAAAATACTCATTTTAACAGTTAACTGTTCTAACTTTATATATGTGAAGAATAGAATATTATATTCGTGTAGATTCAATACTAAATTTATTGAACTTGTTGAATAAAACAATATTATGCTCGCCAGAGGCTCGCATAATATGATTTTATTCAACTTGTTCATTAAATTTAGTATTAAACTACACTCATTCAATATCCTCTGTATATTATCTACATGTTTAAGAACAATGCATTGCATCTAATTCAGTCACTCATTAATTGGATTAATTTACTTTGCATATGAAACAATCACATCAATGCTTCAAATAAAAAAAATCTTAATTGAAATATGTTATTTCTAATTCAAACATTTAAATAGGAATACTACAAATAAGCACTTGTCTTTTAATGGCTTCTTTTTCAAGTCGGATTAAGATATGATAAACAATCACATGTTAAGTCTAAATAATAATAATTACTTACGTTTTACAAGATCTCTGCGTATGACTGTCACACAGTCACTTGGGTCATCTTCAGGATATTCCTCCATTTTTGAAAAGTCTAGAATGTATTTTGTCTTACCGGCACTGTAAAACAAATGTGAAAATTTGTTAATGAAATATGCAAAATGACACACTTTTCTTTCATGACAATCGGACAACCACTAGCTTTTTTTAAAATTACAAATAAAATTTTAATCTGACAAGGATTAATAATAATAATTTTACTGTCTCTTTCAAAAGCAACAGAAGATTCACTCAGTAAAAAGGATGTTACTGTCACAAAATGTGCCTGTCATGATGTTCTACAGGACTCTTGATTCTACATGCTGAAAAATTGTCCTCTAACCTCCAAGTGTGACCATGACATTTGGCCTACTGAACTAGTTCAAGTTTGCCACAGTACATCTCAAGATGGTGAACATTTGCATGGAATAGTACTAAAATCCCTCCATTTATGACTACAGTTACCTTGACTTTAAAAATAATTACATTATGTTTATTTAGATGGAAATGCCTACAAAGCTTAGTCTTAGGATAGTAAACATCTGTGTTAGAATTCCTAATTTATGTGGCTAAATAGTCAGCATGTACTACATCATTTTTCATCTCAACCTTGACCTTTACTAATGACCTTAACCTTGGCCCCAGGACCTGAAATTTGCCCTTAGTGCTTGTAGAAGTTTTGCTGTAGACAAGCATTTTCTTCTGACCACTAGTTGTGACCTTGACTTTTGACCTACAGACCTAGTTGGAGTGCAAAACATTGTCTAATAATGGTTACCATTTGTATTAAGTAATTCTAAATGGTATGCTACTGCATGCCCACCCACTTTCCATGGGCATTCCCATTATACAGGTTCATAATGATTGACTTTCAGGGTGGTGGGGGTGGGGGAGACAGCTGAAAATCCCTATAACGAATGTGTTCACTATGTCTGTTGAAGTGTACAGGAAGGGAGTGTACAAAAGAGAAATTCCAAGGAGCATAATATTTTCACACAATTGAAAATATAAAACATTATTATTCTGAAAGAAATACCAAACATTACTGTATGGTCTTTTTTTCATATTTCATCTAAGGTGACCTTGTATAATTATTATTTCAGACACAAGCAGACAATCAAATAGAATAGGTAATCTTCCACAACTACCTGGATAGCTTTGTCTTATCAAACATTTCAATATGGGATTCAAATTATTACACTCGAGAACCGGTTGAACCGGGTGATGCTCCCCGAGAAGGTTTTGGACACAAGAAAGTATAAAAAAAATGAAACAAGAGGGCCATGATGGCCCTGAGGTCGCTCACCTGTATAAAGGGCCCCGAAGTGGGGCCAGTTTAAACCCCAGGGCTTTTATTTGAACAAACTTGAAAGACACTCATTAGAAGATGTTTCACGATGTTAAGTTTGTTAAGTTTTTACTACACACATAATGAAAAACAATGATCTCCTCCCCCCCCCTCCAGCAGGGCAAATTTTCACCCGAGGGCTTTTATTTGAACAAACTTGGTAGACACCCATAAGATGTTTCATGCTAAACATCTAAGCTCTAGCTCATTGGTTTTTTTTAAAGAAGTTTTTACTATACACATAAAGTTAAAAACAATGATACCCCTGGGGCGGGGCCAGTTTTGACCCCAGGGCTTTTATTTGAACAAACTTTGTAGACACTTACTAGAAGATGTTTCATGCTGAATATCTAAACTCTAGCTATTTGGGTTTTTTCAAAGAAGATTTTTAAGTTTTTACTATATGCATATAGGGAAAATCAATGACCCCATGGGGCGGGGCCAATTTTGACCCCAGGGCTTTTATTTGAACAAACTTGGTAGACACTCATTAGAAGATGTTTCATGCTGAATATCTTAGCTCTAGCTCTTTAGGTTCTTTAAAAGAAGATTTTTTTAAGTTTTTACTATATGCATATAGGGAAAATCAATGACCCCTGGGGCGGGGCATATTTTGACCCCAGGGATTTTATTTGAACAAACTTGGTAGATACTCACTAGAAGATGTTTCATGCCAAATATCTAAGCTCTAGCTCTTAGGGTTTTTTAAAAGAAGATATTTAAAGTTTTTTCTTTCAGTTGAGTTCTGCATGGAATTAAATTCTTTGAACAATTTTTAAAGGTGACCACCAAAGGAACATTCCTGTGAAGTTTGGATGAAATTGGCTAAGTGGTTTATGAGGAGATGTCATTTGAAGTAAAAGTTTACGGACGGACAGACGCCTGACGAAAAGCGATCACAAAAGCTCACCCTGTCACTTTGTGACAGGTGAGGTAAAAAGGGCAAAAACTCCAAAATGAGGCAAGGCAGAGTTATGTTTTTTGCACTGCACTTCTATTCAATGAGATCTATCTATCTATAAAGTTTCGTGATGATATCTCTTATAGTTTCAGAGTAATGTCCCGGGTTAAATTCAAAGAGTAAAAATGAAAAAAGGGCAATAACTCCAAAATTAGACAAGGCTGTGTTTAGGTTCTTTAGCACTGCAGTTCTATCCAATGAGATCTATCTGCCTACAAAGTTAAATGTTGATATCTCTAATAGTTTAAGAGTTATGTCCTGGACTAAAGTCAAAAAGGAAAAATAAACAAAGGCCAATAACTTCAAAATAAGGCAAGGCAGAGTTATGATTCTTTAGCACTGCACACCTTTTCAATGAGATTTATCTACCTTCAAAAGTTCATGTGTTGATACCTCTTATAGTTTTAGAGTTATGTCCCTGACAACATTCAAAGTGTAAAAATAAACAAAGGGCAATTATACAAAAATAAGGCAAACCAGAGTTACGGTTCTTGTGCACTGCAAACCTACTCAATGAGATCTATCTAGCTACAAAGTTTCATGTTGATACCTCTTATAGTTTTAGAATTATATCCCAGACAAAGTTCAAATTGTAAAAATAAACAAAGGGCAATAATTCAAAAATTAGGAAGTGTAAAAATAAACAAAGGGCAATAATTCAAAAACAAGATGGCCATAATGGCCCTGAAATTGCTCACCTGTATATAGGCCCCCAGGGCCGGGCCAATTTTAACCCAGGGGCTTTTTTTGAACAAACTTGGTAGACACCCATTTGTAGATGTTTCATGATAAATATCTAAGCTCTAGCTCTAAGAAGATTTTTTAAGTTTTTACTATACACGTATAGGGAAAAGCAATGGACGGAGCCAATTTTGTCCCCAGGGCTTTTATTTGAACAAACTTGGTACACACTCACTAGAAGATAATTCATGCATAATATCTAAACTCTAGCTCTTTGGGCTTTTTAACAGAAGATTTTTTAAGTTTTTACTATATACATACATGTATAAGGAAAATCAATGATCCTGGGGGGCGGGGCCAATTTTAACCCCAGGGCCCTTATTTGAACAAAAATGGTACACACCCATTAGAAGATGTTTTATGCTAAATATCTTAGCTCTAGCTCTAAAGGTTTTTTAAAAGAAGATTTTTAAAGTTTTTACTATATACATAAAGGGAAAAACAATGACCCCCTGGGGTGGGGCCAATTTTGACCCCAGGGCTTTTATTTGAACAAACTTGGTAGACATCCACTAGAAGATGTTCCATGCTTAATAGCTAAGCTCTAGCTATTTGGGGTTTTTAATAGAAGATTTTTTAAGTTTTACTATATACAAATAAGGAAAATCAATGACCCCCACGGGCAGGGCCAATTTTGACCCCAGGGTATTTATTTGAATAAACTTGGAAGATACTGACTAGATGATGTTTCATGCCAAATATCTAAGCTCTAGCTCTTATGGTTTTCTAAAAGAAGATATTTTAAGTTTTTTCTTTCGGTTGCCACGGCAACCAGAGTTCTACTTGGAATTAAATTCTTTGAACAATTTTTAAAGTTGACTACCAAAGGAACATTCTTGTGAAGTTTGGATGAAATTGGCTTAGTGATTTATGAGGAGATGATGTCGTTTAAAGTAAAAGTTTACGGGCGAACGCCAGACAGACGGACGCCGGACGAAAAGCGATCACAAAAGCTCACCATGTCACTTTGTGACAGGTACTGATACTTCGTACAGTTTTAGAGTTATGTCCCCGACAAAGTTCAGTGTAAAAATAAACAAAGGGCAATAATTCAAAAATTAGGAAAGGCAGAGTTATGGTTCTTGTGCACTGCACACCTACTCAATGAGATCTATCTACCTACAAAGTTTCATGTTGATACCTCTTATAGTTTTAGTTATGTCTCGGACAAAGTTCAAAGTGAAAAAATAAACAAAGGGCAATAATTCAAATATAAGAATGGCAGAGTTACGGTTCTTGTGCACTGCACACCTACTGAATGAGATCTATTTACCTACAAAGTTTCATGTTGATACCTCTTGTTGTTTCAAAGTTATGTCCCGGACAAGAAAAGTGGACGGACGGACAAGGAGGCGACTATATACTCCCTCGAGCATAAAAAGGCAAATGGTACAAAGTCAGCCATCTAAACTCTAAACTGAAAGAACTGTTAAAGTATCTACCTGAAATTGACGTTAGCAGCTTTTGCAATATAAGCAGACTCTATCTTGTAATTAAGATCCTTATCGTATGCTTTTAATGTCTGTCCAGTCTCCCCATTTTCTATATAGCTCCATTGGGTTAGATTACTCATCAACTCTGCTGTTTTCCTTTCTTGTTCAACAGTTACTGCTTGTCGTAAAATCCTGTCAAATAATATCTAAGTGTGATTTATGAAAAATTGGAAAAAACATTACTTATTTGAGATGTATTACCAAAATGTAATTCAACTTATTCCATGTAAAATACCATGCTCATTACAGTGAAATATAAGCAATATAACTAGTGGTTAGTGGTTTTATTTTCTAAAAAATGGTTTGGCATCAACTGTTAGACAGACAAAGTTTCTTTTTGTCCAGCTTTTAATATTATCCAAATTGATACATGTCTATAATGACATGAAATTTTGTTGATTTTATTTTCATTTATTTCAATTGTTAGTGAGATTAAAAAAATCCCTGGAAACTTAAAATTGTCTCATTTGTGAAAACAAGCATTTATTCTTTTTCTTGAATAACAAGCATATTATAAGTCTGTAACATCACTTTAACAAACTGTTGTATTTCCTACTCTCTACTCTTGGGGAACTAAAAACAGAAATATGTGCAAAAAATCAGTAAGATATATATTTGAAATATATTGAAAATCGTGTTTTTCTGCTACTCTTAGATGAATTTGAGTGAATAACAATGTCCGGTCATTTTTTTATGATTAGAATAATTCTGGTAAAAACAGAGTGAGACAATGATTTGAAATTTTGCACACATGTTATTGTTCTAGACCTACATCAAATAGAACATTCATGTATAGAAAGTATTTCCAGTCACTTCAAATCAAAAAGGCTCAGTGGAGCCCTTTCAATTTATTTTCAATATGGCAAATTTATAAACATGTATTGCAGAGTTTACAAAAATACAAAAAAAGTTTTTTTTCTGCAGTTTAACCTTTAATTTGTTAAAATTTTAACTGGACTTGTCAATCTTTTTCTAGAAAAAAAACATTCCTCAGTTTTTTTAATTTTTAAAACAAGTACTGATTAAATATCTTACAGCGTAGATTATGTGCTAGTTGATCTTGGTCTGCAATGGTCACATGTGGTTATTATGTAGGCACATGTTAAAAACGTTTTGGGGAGTTTTCATATAGACAAATAAGCAAAATTAAAACTGGTCTATAGAATTTCTTTAAACTTGGCATGTTGTTAGAATATAATAACAGAGACATTTTATGCGAAAATAAAATTGGGGTCACCGTTCTCATTTTTGAGTTATCTGCCCCTGAATCTGACTTTTCTACTTATTTGAGGTCATTTAAAGGGCAGATTACTTATAAATTCTTAAAAAATTTCGTTTTTTACTTCTGGATTATGTTTTTCTTTTTATTGTTGAGTACAATACATAATAATATGCAATTACTTACATTGTTTCTGTTAACTTTTTCAATGAAAATAACGGTATTTTAAATTCTAAAAAGATTAGCCATTTTTTAAAAAAAAATGCACAGGTTAGAATAAAAACTACCCACTCTAAATTTGTTCTTGAAATTTTGCATTTCAAGTTAAACAAAGGTAAGCTTCATGAAAATAAGAAAAAAAAAATGTATTTTTTCCATTCATAGTATATTATCTGCCATTGAATTTAAAACAAGAGCTGTCGGTAGGACAGCATGCTCGACTATTCTAAGTGCTTGATAGTAAAAGAGCATTGGTAATGTTAAATTGTTTAAGTTCACAAAAGGGCTATTTTTCTTTATAAATTCATGTTATAGGCCTTAGAGAGAGTCTAATTATACAGTATTGGCTTGATTATTCGGAAGGTAATCACAAGGGTGTTTTATTGAGTATAATAATACTAATTACCTATGAATACATAAATTTGACAGAAATGGTACAAAGGCTTGTTATTAAGATGTTTTATCAAGTAAATCATTGCTTTATTATTATGAATGCATAAAATTGTCCCAAAAAAGGCACAAACCCTTCAGTAGTTATTAAGATAACAGCTTACAAGCAAAACTTTACCATGAATTTCTATGTTGAAAAAGGGGAGAAAAAGCGGCCTAAATGCAAGATAGAATTATGGATCTTTGTTAGTGACCTACAATTATGATCCTTAATGCATATGTGAAGTTTTAAATAAATATCTTTAATAATTATTGAGATATGTAAAACTTGCATGTAAACATTAACCAAGAGACTTAAAGTAGAAAAAGGGATATGAATCAGCCTTAATGCAAGATAGAGTTATGGAACTTGGTCAGTGACATACAATTATGACCCTCCAATTATGACTCTAAGTGCATGTGTAAAGTTTCAAGTAAATATCTTTGAAGACCTTTAACCTTTAACCAAAATTTCTAAGTTACAAAGGGGCAAATAATTCTGCAAATATTGCAGGCAGAGTTATGCAATTTTGCAAACTGATGAACATTGTTACTATAAAAAAGTATTTTAAATTTCAATTGAATATCTCAAGCAATAATTGAGATATTTGACTTTACAAAAAAACTTTAACCAAAATTTCTAAGTTCCAAAGGGGCATAATTCTGTCAATATTGTAGGCAGAGTTATCCAACTTGTCAATCTGATGTACTTCGTTACTATAAATAAGTATTGTAAGTTTCAATTGAATATCTCAAGCAATACTTGAGATATTTGACTTTACAAAAAACTTTAGCCAAAATTTCTAAGTTAAAAAGGGGCATAATTCTGTCATTATTGTAGGCAGAGTTATCCAACTTGTCAATTTGATGTACCTTGTTACTATAAATAAGTATTGTAAGTTTCAATTGAATATCTCAAGCAATAATTGAGATATCTGTCTTTACAAAAAACTTTAACCAACGCAGACGCGGACGCTAATGCAGACGCCGGGGCGACTACAATAGCTCTCATATTCTTCGAATAGTCGAGCTAAAAACTGTCCAATTCAAGGGCAGAAAAGTCAAAAACGGGAACGATTTTTTTTCCGCATAAAATGTTTCTGTTATTATATTCTAACAACATGCCAAGTTTAAAGAAATTCTATAGAACAGTTTTAATTTTGCCTATTTGTCTATATGAAAACTCTCGAAAACAACTTTAAATGACCAATGACTTTCTATGAGTAACAGTTACTGAAGGGGAACTATTTCAAAAGAAATATGACTCCAGAATGATGAATGCTAAATGGAAATCAAATGAAACCCCAGTGTGCTCTAATGGCTCGAATTAACAGTAGCCTTTAACTTTTACAGCTACATAAATAAACTTTCAATGAAAACCCAAATTAAGAACAATTTTCCATATGAATCATGCAATGTAATTATCAAATTAAATCTCTAGTTAAAGATATACCTATGTATATTATCCGCAGCTTTACTGACATTTGCAGAAATTCCTGATATTTGTATCTGACCATCAGAAGTCTCTACCTTTATTTCCAGATGATGTTTAGCTGCAATACTTCGTATTTCCATGATCTGTATTTAGAAATAACTTTTAATATAAAACTAAGGCAAAATGGCCTCTCGGTTTTTTTTATTGGGTTTACAGTCCAACCAACACAAGTCGAGTCAGGTGCTCTTTTTACATTATTTCAGGCACGAACAGGCATCCGAGTAGAACAAGCAACATTCAGTAAGCTAGCTACTTGTAAATAGCTTTCTCACATGAATAATCTGAAGACACATGTCCAACTTGAACCTACAGTGGTTAGAGGCAAGTGGTTTGAAGTCAAGAACCTTTACCAATTAACCACAGCTTCAATCCTCTAATACTTAACATAAAAGAACTAAAACTGTGTCCAAAGGATACTGATGCCCCCACTGTGCAGATGTGCTTGTAAACAAGAGCATGCATATCTGTATGTAAGATTTTTATGTGAAACTTTTCATTAAAATCTGCCATCCAGTTAAAGAGGAGTTGGTTTCACAAAATTTCTATATGGTATATAGTGAAATAATCAACAAAGGAATATAATTCTGTTAAATTTGGTCGCAGCACAAATCTCTTCCTTTACTACCATCTACACATTAAGGTTGTTCATCCCTGGAAGTTTAAACAAAATCTGCCATCCGGTTTAAGAGGAGTTGCATTCACAAAATTTCAATATGGTATATAGTGAAATAATCATCAATTTAGGGCCATAATTCTGTTAAATTTAGTTGCAGCAAAATTCCTTCCTTTACTACCATCCACACATTAAGGTTGTTCATCCCTGGAAGTTTAAGCAAAATCTGCCGTCTGGTTTAAGGGGAATTGCGTTCACAAGATTTTGGGACATACGGACATACAAACGTACGGACAAGTGCAACACTATATGCTCCCCACTTTGTGGGGGCATAAAAAGTCAAACAAGAGGGACATGATAGCCCTGAAAGCGCTAATCTGTATATAGGCCCCCAGGGTGGGGCCAGTTTAAACCCAAGGGTGTTTATTTGAACAAACTTGGTAGACACCCATTAGAAGATATTTCACGCTAAACATCTAAGGACTAGCTTGTTGAGTTTTTTAAAAAGATTTTTTAAGCTTTAACTATACACATATAGTTAAAAGCAATGACACCCCTACAGTTGGGCCAGTTTTGACCCCAGGGCTTTTATTTGAACAAACTTTGGAGACCCTCACAAGAAGATGTTTCATGCTTGATATTTAAACTCTAGCTATTCTGGTTTTTTTTTTAAAGAAGATTTTTAAGTTTTTGCTATACACATATAAGGAAAATCAATGTCCCTTCTGGGCAGGGCCAATTTTGACCCTAGGGCTTTATTTGAACAAGCTTTGAAGACACTAACTGGAAGATATTTCATGTTAAATATCTTCACTCTAACTATTTGGGTTTTTTCAAAGAAGATTTTATAAGTTTTTGCTATACACATAAACAAAATCAATTACCCCCGGGGCAGGGCCAATTTTGACCCAAGGTCTTTTATTTGAAAAAACTTTGTAGACACTCACTAGAAGATGTTTCATGCTTAGTATCTAAACTCTAGCTATTTGCTTTTTTTTTCCAAAGAATTTTTTATTTTAAGTTTTTGCTTTACACATATATGGAAAATCAATGACCCCTGGGGCAGGGCCAATTTTGACCCCAGGGCTTTTAATTGAACAAACTTGGTAGACACTCATTAGAACATGTTTCATGCTAAATATATTAGCTCTAGCTCTTTGGGTTCTTTAAAAGAAGATTGAATAAGTTTTACTATATAATGCATATAGGGAAAATCAATGACCCCCTAGGGTGGGGCCAATTTTGACCCCAGGGCTTTTATTTGTACAAACCTGGTAGACACCCATTAGAAGATGTTTCATGCTAAATATCTTAGCTCTAGCTCTTTGAGTACTTGGTAGACACCCATTAGAAGATGTTTCATGCTAAATATCTTAGCTCTAGCTCTTTGGGTTCTTAAAGAAGATTTTTTAAGTTTTTACTATATGCATATAGGAAAAAGCAATGACCCCTGGGGCGGGGCCAATTTTGATCCCAGGGCTTTTATTTGAACAAACTTGATAGACACTCACTAGAAGATGCTTTATGCCAAATATCTATGCTATACCTCTTTGGATTTTTAAAAGAAGATATTTTAAGTTTTTTCTATCGGTTGCCATGGCAACCAGAGTTCTGCATGGAATTAAATTCTTTGAACAATTTTTAAAGGTGACCATCAAAGGAACATTCCTGTGAAGTTTGGATGAAATTGGCTCTGTGGTTTCTGAGGAGATGTCATTTAAAGTACTAGAAATGTGTCATCATGCCACGGATGCCCCAGCATGCAGCCAAAATTTCAGATGTTATAATATTAAGTTCCAAATTTGTTTGCACAAATTATTGTTTTAATTTTAAGTACAAAGCCCTTAAAACTTTTCAATGTTAACACAAACCATTTTCATATTTTCTTACAATGTTCAAGACACTGAAATTATTCAGCCTTAACCTTTTGAAAATAGCATATTTCATATTTGTAGCCAAAATAGTGGCTACATACATTTCCACAAAAGTATGAGTGCTGCAACTGAAAGTTCAAAATTTTTCCAATATTCAAGAAAGATAAGTTTGTCCAAAATCATTGAACCACGACCAAATTCAAACTTAAACTGCTTATTCCTAAGATGTATCTATATTATTTTCAAAGTGAAAGGGACATAAATCATCGAACCATGACCAAATTCCAACTTGACCTGCCCATTCCTTTGACATATCCATATGTCAAATTTGAGTTGAATATGTAACACTGTTGGGTAGATAATGAACAGAAACTGTAAATTCATATTATTTTCAAAGTGAAAGAGGTATAACTCTGCCAAAAATCATTGAACCATGACCAAATTCGAACTTGGCCTTGGCAATCCAAAAACATATCCATATGTCAAATTTGAGTTGAATGTGTTGTACTGTTGGGGAGATAATAAACAGAAACTGAAAATTTCATATTATTTTCAAAGTAAAAGGAGCATAACTCTGCAAAAAATCATCGAACCATGACAAATTCAATTTGACGTGTATTTTCTCATGACATATCCATATGTCAAATTTGAGTTGAATGTGTTGTACCAACTTGGGGAGATAATGAACGGAAACTGAAAATTTCATATTATTTTCAAAGTAAAAGGGGCATTACTCTGCCAAAAGACATCGAACCATGACCAAATTCGAACTTGACTTGTATTTTCTCATGACATATCCATATGTCAAATTTGAGTTGAATGTGTTGTACCGTTGGGGAGATAATGAACTGAAACTGAAAATTTCATATTATTTTCAAAGTAAAAGGGGCATAACTCTGCCAAAAATCATCGAACCATGACCAAATTGAAACTTGACCTGTATTTTCTCATGACATATCCATATGTCAAATTTGAGTTAAATATGTGCAACTGTTACTAAGATAATGAACGGAAACTGATGATGACGGAATGACAGAATGACGGAAGGATGGAAGGCCATTACATGGCGGGGGCATAAAAAGTTTACGGACGGACGACGGACGGACAGATGCAGGACGAAAAACAATCACAAAAGCTCATCCTGTCACTTTGTGACAGGTGAGTTAAAAACATTTGAACATCTGATGACCATTTTGTTTTGTGATACTATTTGTGAGCAGTTGACATAGCAATAAACAGGAAAGGGTTGGGTTATTTTTTCACAGCTTAACCGTACAGTAACCTGAAGGTCCAAGGAATAACATTATACTATTTTTTTTAGAGGACTTTCCATGTGCTTAGGTAATGACATTTGACAGTTATGTTCTAAAAATAAAACTTCTGGTTTTTGCATTAAGTTGTTTAACATTGTGCCTTTAGTCATGCATATTGAAAAAATGTGTATCAATGGCTCTGGGTGACGAGAATTTATCAGTTAATGTCTCAGTATGAGTTTTTATGCAAGACAAAGATTTCTCACCTGTTGATCATTCATATTCTTTATAATGCTGTCATTAAATTTGCTTGAGCATACTTCTTTATCAAGACAACTTTCCAACTTTGCTATAGCTTGATCAATGATTTTTTCAGACATTGCAAGAACAATAAATGTCACTTTATTAGGATCTTGGTTCTTGGCAGGTTTCTTCTTAGTCTGTCTTTTGCTTGTCTGATCTTGTCCTCCACCACCAAGCCAGCCTGTCCAAAAAAAGAAAGAAAAGATTATTGCTAGTGAAATCAGCAAAGTTTTAACATAATTATTAAAAAATATACAACTAATGCCAGACAATCAGTCTAATTTTATTTTTTTGTATGTATTTGTTTTTTTTTTATTTTCAGCTGAGTTTAAGGGAAGACAGACAAAACCCCACACATCAAAATCCCACACCTCAAAATCTTATAGAGTGGACAAAACCCAACACCTAAATTTAATAGAGTGGACAAAATCCCACACCTTCAATTTTATAGAGTGGACATACATGTAACCCAAAACTTAATTTTACTACATGCAATATGTAGAGACTTTTGGCTGACAACAAAATAAGTGACATTGTTGACAATTTGAATAATTAATGTTAACTAGAACTGTCACTGTCATGAAATCAACAGTGGCCATTTAAAGCTCAAGGACAACCTCTCTGCCAAATCTGAGGTTACTTTTAAAGCCAGTGCATTGCTAAGTTATGTATTCAACATGCTTCAAATGTGAAAATGTCAAAATCAATACACTTCCGAAAGGCAATTTTAAGCATTTGAGCAGACAAACTTATTGTAGTAAAAATCCATTTGACCTTGACCTTTGACAGTCAATTAAAAATAAAAATCATCAGATTCTACTAGTCATAAACAACCTCAATACCAATATGAATCATTTTTTTCTTTTGTTTAATAGAGGGCCATGGCCCCTTATTCTATTGTTACTGAATGAATTATATTATTCTCTTTTGTTCTGTTTACAGACAGATGGCCCCCTATCCCTATTCGGTAGTGCGGAAGGTGACAGATGTACTCACAAAATGGTACTTATGTGACTTTTCCTTTGATCTTTTTGGCCATTTGTAGTCACACAAGGCTTAAAACTAGAAATGTGTCCAAAGGACACGGATGCCCCCACTGACAACATATATAATGGTATATAGTGAAAAAATCAACAAAGGGCCATAATTCTATTAAATTTGATCGCAGCAAAAATTCCTTCCTTTACTACCATTTACACATTGAGGTTGTTCATCCCTAGAAGTTTAAGCAAAATCTGCCATCCGGTTTAAGACGAGTTGCATTCACAAAATTTCTATATGGTATATAATGAAAAAATCAACAAAGGGCCATAATTCTGTTAAATTTGGTCACAGCAAAAATTCCTTCCTTTACTACCATCTACACATTAAGGTTGTTCATCCCTGGAAGTTTAAGCAAAATCTGCCATCCGGTTTAAGAGGAGTTGCGTTCACAAGATTTCGGGATGTACGGACAGACGTACGGACGGACAAGTGCAACGCTATATGCTCCAACTCTGTGGGGGCATAAAAAGACACACAAGTAAAACTGAATGAATAGGATCAAAAAAATTTTACTGCTACCCATTGTTCTCTAAGTCACACAAGTACCTCTGGGTTAATACAGGCAGATGAACATTCGGACAAACAGGCTGATTCCAGTATACTCTCCTCACAACATTGTTGTGTGGGGGTATAATTAAGATTTGTGAATGTTTAACCTTTGATTTTCATATAGCAGTTTGTAATAGATGAATGCTTACCCTTTGATTTTTTTCAACAGTTTGTAATATTTGTATAGCGTATTATCATTCAATCATAATGTATTGTATATTGAAACAAGAAACATGGCAATGCCATGAAACCAGGTTTTCAATTATCACCATTGTAGATAAATATGTTGTATTTGAAATACAAATACAAGCAACAAACAATGTAACTATGTGCAATGTAAAACATGAATAATGTAGGAGGAATTGCCACAGAGGAAGTGTTCACTATAATTATATTCTGTATAAGGAATAAAAACAAAGGGCCATAATAAAATAAAAAATTATTCAATCACAAAACCCCGGCAATATGCCCCAGGGCACTGGATGACAAAGCTACTGTTAAAGTTTGAACAAAATCCGTTGAGAAATGTAGGCGTTCAGCACAGAAGAATTATTTCACTATATATTCTGTATAAGGAAAAAAAACAAAGGGCCATAATTAGGTCAAATATTATCCAATCACAAAACCCCGATAATGTGCGCCAGGGCACTTGATAACAAAGCTTCTGTGAAACTTTGGTCAAAATCTGATGAGAAATGTAGGAGAAGTTGGGCATGGTAAAAATTGTTCACTATATAATCTGTATAAGGAAAAAAACAAAGGGCCATAATTAGGTCAAATATTATACAATCACAAAACCCTGACAATATGCCCCAAGGCACTTGATGACAAAGCCTCTGTGAAAGTTTGGTCAAATTTCGTTGAGAAATGAAGGAGGAGAACGCGCACAGAAATTTTTTCACTATATATCCTATATTGGGAAAAAAAAACAAAGGGCCATAATTAGGTCAAATATTATCAAATCACAAAACCCCGACAATATACTCCAGGGCACTTGAGTACAAAGCCTCTGTGAAAGTTTGGTCAAAATCCATTGAAAAATGTAGGAACAGTTGGGCACAGAAGAAATTATTCACTATATATTCTATATAAGGAAAAAAAACAAAGGGCCATAATTAGGTCAAATATTATCCAATCACAAACAGAGCTGCATCAGTACTAAAGGTGTAGTACTTAAGTACCAGTACCAGTACTTAGCAAATTATGCAGTACCATTACCAGTACTAGATTTTAGCTCGGTACTGCAGTACCAGTACTTTTTTGGTGAAGTAATTAAGTATCAGTACCATTACTTTTATATATTCATCAAAGTTTGAATAAATACAGTGTCAAACAAATATTTGCAAATATTATTCAGCAAAGAAATAAAATCATAATTTACTTTAAAGTTAACATAACATATTTACAACTTTATAGTTTTAACATACTTTTTACAAACAATATTTACAACATATATTCAGGTCATAACTTAATGTTTAGTAACCAGCTAACTGTATAAATACAATGCAAACATCTTTCATTTAAAGCACAACAGTCTTTTGTTGCCTTTCACACCTTCACACCTCTGTTCAATTTATACCAAAGTAAATAACAACTTTTTATGGTGCTAATAATATCACTTTTTTCACTTTTAGAATAGAAAAAAATAATTAGTGTTTATTTTGCTCTTTTACTAGTAAATACAAAGTAATAAAAGTTTTTAATAAGGATATTTTAGGGTAAAGAGTTATTGTGTCTGCTTATCTTAATTTAATTTTTACTTAAAGTCTTTGGTGCTTTTTAATACTATGTTAACATTTGAAGGAAATATATTGCAGCAATTTATCTTTAGATTTGTTAACTTACTTTTTCACAAAAACAAAATATAGTTAATGTAATTTATAGCTTTATTTTATGAGAAAAATTGATGCTATTTTTAATTTTAATCAAAACCAAAAGTACTGGGTAATGCAGTAGCAGTACCACTTTTTAAGACAGTAATGCAGTACCAGTACCAGTAGTAGCAAAATTTTGTAAGAGAGTAATTCAGTATCAGTACCAGTACTTGCAAAATCGCTGCAGTACGTACTGCAGTACCAGTACCAGTAATGCAGCTCTGATCACAAAACCCCGACAATATGCCCCAGGTCACTTGATGACAAAGCTTCTGTGAAAGTTTGGTCAAAATCCGTTGAAAAATGTAGGAGGAGTTGCGCACAGAAGAAATTGTTTACGCCCACCCGTCCGCCCATCTGCCCGCCCGCCGACATACCTCAATCTAATAACCAGTTTTTTCCTTCGGAAAACCTGGTTAATAAAATAACACATACCATTAATTATCACAATCAAAAGAACTATGTACAAGAGGGCCATGTTGGCCCCGAGGTCGCTCACCTGTATATAGGCCCCCGGAGAGGGGCCAGTTTAAACCCCAGGTCTTTTATTTGTACAAACTTGGAAGACACCCAATAGAAGATGTTTCTTGATGTTAAGTTTTTACTACACACATATAATGGAAAAACAATGACCTTCCCCCCGGCAGAGCCAATTTTAACCCAAGGACTTTTATATGAACAAACTTGGTTGACACCCATAAGAAGATGTTTCATGCTTAACATCTAAGCTCTAGCTCATTGGGTTTTTTAAGAAAGATTTTTTAACTTTTGAACATACACATATAGTTAAAAACAATGACACCCCTGTGGCGGGGCCAGTTTTGACCCCAGGGCTTTTATTTGAACAAACTTTGTAGACACTCACTAGAAGATGCTTTGTGCATAATATCTAAACTCTAGCTATTTGAGTTAAATTTTTAAAGAAGATTTTTTAAGTTTTTGTTATACACATGTAAGGAAAATGAATGACCCCTGGGGTGGGGCCAATTTTGACCCCAGGGCTTTTATTTGAACAAATTTGGAAGTTACTCATTAGAAGATGTTTCCTGCTAAAAATCTTAGCTCTAGCTCTTTGGGTTCTTTATCAGAAGAATTTTTAAGTTTTTGTTATACCATTTTTAAAGGTGACCACCAAAGGAACATTCCAGTGAAGTTTGGATGAAATTGGCCAAGTGGTTTTTGAGGAGATGCCATTTAAAGTAAAAGTTTACGGAGGGACGCCGGACAAAAAGCTACCCTATCACTTTGTGACAGGTGAGCTAAAAAGTTGTAAATCCTACTTCAAATAACAAAGTTATTGGCCAGACACGATTCTGCTGCAAGGTCATGCTGTGACATAAACCTTGAAAGTAGCAACCCAAATGTTGCACACGACATGTTGTCTCAATCTGGTAATCATTTCTATGAAAAACAGTAAAACTTCGGTAAGTCGAAGTTGAAGGGACTTGCGTAAAAACTTCGACACATCGGGACTTCGACTCATGAATAGATCTCAATTCCATGACAAAATTTCGACCCATGACTAGTCTATAAGAAACCTATTTCATGTTTTTTTCCATCATTAATCTGATATTCACATATTACAATGATAAATATAGCTTGTTAAATAACGTTTTTCACGGCTAATTATTTGGCCTACTGTTGACGTATACAATAGAGTTACAAAAGGCGTAACAATACAAAAGGGTGTACCTTAACCAACTTATAGTATATATATATTTCACATATTGTTCTCACGCGACACTTGGTCAAGGATGTAATCAAATGAAAGTAGTTCTTACTGTTTACTTTCAAATACCACTACCGCAATTAAAATAGTAACGATTAAAGCATTTCATCACACATTTTATCGCAAACAAAGGCTGTTTGAACACACAGCTGTGTAATTAACACCTGTCACACAAGTCTTCGCAGCCAGATAAGGTGTGAAAAATGTCTTGAGATTGACGGTGACAAAATAATCAAACAACTTCGACTTTATTAATTTGTGGTAAATTTCACTAGATTGACTTAATACGGACCACGAAAAAACTTTGACACATCGAAAAATTCAACACTTAAAATCTTGACTCATAAATAGGTTTTTCTAAGGAATATATAGGGGGAAAGTCGGGACTTTAATTTTTCTTCGACACATCGAGAAAATCAACTAATCGAAGTTTGACTAAAAGAAGTTCTACTGTAGTTGTAAAATTCGACTTCAAATAATCAAGTTATGGGCTGGACATGATTTTTGTTCAAGGTCATGATGAGACCTTGACCTTCAAGGTAGTGAACCAAATTTTGCCCAAGACATGTCGTTTCAATGTGGTGATAATTTCTGTGAAATGGTTTTAAAATCCGACTTCAAATGACGAAGTTATGGGCCAGACACAAATTCGGGACATACGTATGTACGGATGGACTGACAGGCTGTGACCTTCAAGGTAGCGACCCAAATGATACACACAACACATCGTCACAATATGGTGATCATTTCTGTATGATAGTTGTAAAATCTGACTTCAAATGACCAAGTTATGGGCTTGACATTATTTTTGTTCAAGGTCATGCTGTTACCTTGACCTTCAAGGTAGCGACCAAGCTGTTGCGCGCCACACGTCTTCTCAATATGGTGATCATTTCTATGAAATAGTTGTAAAATCGGACTTCAAATAACAAAGTTATGGGCTGGACACGAATTTTGGACAGATGGAAGGACAACCCGGCGACTATTATACTGCCCCGAAATTTTTGGGGAGCATAATAATTAAATTAACCATATAAAACTTTAGTAAATATTTTGTTCTTTTCTAACAAGATCAAAATTATATGAATTGCATGGTTTTAAAACAAATAATTAGAAGGTGTGGGGTTATGTCCACTCTATAAAATTGAAGGTGTAGGGTTTTGTCCACTCAATAAAAATTTTGAGGTACGTTTGGTTTTGAAGTGTGGGGTTTTGTCCTACATCTTTTGTCATATCTTTGAAGTCAGCCTACAAAGATTGTTTTACTGGATTTGAGAGTTAAATGATCCTTAGACTCAATATCTACAATCAACAGCTACAGAGAAATTCCACTTTTTCAAAAGATCAACTTGTGACCTCAGGATTACAAATTCAATGCTCTCCCTATTGAGCTAATTAGGTGTGAAACCAGCATTGAATGTTAGTTTAACTAGAAATGTGTCCATAGGACACGGGTGCCCCCACCGTGCCACTGTTCTGTCAATCTTATGACTTTAGGTCAAATATTTTTTGAAAACTAAAAAATCTTTTACTAAGTAAAGGGCAAGAACTTAACGAATACTGACACAAGCAAACCCCAAGGTGCATAAGTACACATGCCAACATTCTTGTAAACTTTCAGGCCTACAAGTGAAATACTTTTTAAGCTATGTATGAACAAGTTAAAAATTGCAAATTTATACTACTGTAAGTCAAGGGCAATAACTCTTACAAAACTGAAAAAAATCCACATCAACGTCCCAGGTTCATAGCTACACAGTGATGTTAATCATTATTCCTGTAATTTAGTGATGTTGATCATTATTCCTGTAAAGTTGGTTGATTATAACTCAAGCAATCAAGGAACAAATAACAACATAATGAAACAGTTTTTACTAAGTCAAGGGAAATAACTCTACAAATACTGGATAAATCCACAAGTGAAACCCCAGGTGCAAAACTAAATATGCTGAGCAACCTTCCCGTAAGGATTAATGACTCTATGTCAAATCCTTTTTGAGTTACATGCGACACAAGTTGAAAATTGCATAATTTTAATAAGTCAAGGGCAATAACTCTAAAAATACTACAAATATCCAGACAAAAATACCCAAGTGTACAACTACACAATCATGCTGATCAACATTCCTGTAAAGTTTAATGACTCTAGGTCAAATCCTTTTTTGAGTAACATGCGACACAAGTTGAAATTGCAAAATTTTAATAAGTCAAAGGCAATAACTCTAAAAATATCCAGACGAAAATACCCAGGTGCACAAATACACATGCTGATCAACATTCCTGTAAAATTTCACGACTCTACAGGGCTCTCGTTTGGTAAAATTTGGGGCCGAATATCGGCCCCATTCCCCCACCAAAAAAGTGTGTTTTTTCCCCCCTAAAATCCCCCTTGAAATCCCTTGAAATTAATTTTTAACGGGCATAGAAAACGCCGATCGGCGAATGCATATTCCGCGTACGGCAACCGGAAATTAGTAAGTATTCCGCGAACGGCAATCAGAAATTAGTATGTTTATATAATTAAAACGTTCCGGACGGGTTTTAGCATTCCAACATGTCGTCGTACCGCAAAAAATAACAGAAATATTTCATGAAAGCAGCTTAATGATGTTTATTTGTTAACTGAATCTTACATTCACTTTTTTCTGTTTTTTTTTCCTGAATTAATCTTCCTCTGTGGAAATTCCCCTTTGGTTGAAAAATATTTGAAAATCATGCAAAATTCCCCCCCTGCATGGACCCTGGCCCCAGTCTCAAAATGCTAACGAGAGCCCTGCTCTAGGTCAAATCTTTTTTGAGTTACATGCAACACAAGTTGAAAATTGCAAAATTTTACTAAGTCATGGGCAATAACTCTAAAAATACTACAAATATCCAGACGAAAATATCCAGGTGCACAACTTCACATGCTGATCAACATTCCTGTAAAGTTTCATGACTCTCGGTCAAATACTGTTTGAGTTATGTGCGACACAAAAGAGAACTGACGGAAGGACAGACAAACGGAAGACTAAGGGTAAATCTAAATGCCAGCCACTAAAGTGGGGGCACAATAATCTGTTCTACATACCTTTTACACTTCTCATAATTTTGCCACCCCAACCTTCATTAGGTCTGCTTGCAATTGATATCACTTTATCAAACTCTCCCACCATTTGTTTCTGAAATATCACCAATCTGACCTCTTGTAAGTGTTTAGGATCAGTTTTAGCAAAGTTCAATATTGCATTAGCCATAGTTGTGGCTATAACTGAAGCATCCATCTGAAGTCCTGAAATAAAACATGAAATAAATAATAAACTGAATCAATAAATCAATCTTATTTTAAAGTTAGTCTTTCCTAATTAATATCCATTTTTAATCAAACTGAGCTATTTTAAATATTTGTTTTTGTGAAGGAATAAATTCACTGTTACTTCATCTGCAAAATGGTTTTACGTTACTAAGAATTCTAGCTTTGCTGGTGGAGGAAAACCTGAGGTGCCCCTCCATACATTATTTCAGACACAATCAGTCACCTGAGTAGAACTACTAATATTCTTAAGCCAGCTGGATAGCTTCATCATATGAAAGTAAACAAAGTTCCCTGCAGGATTTAAACCCAAAGGTGTGAATGGCAAATGGTTTGAAGTCAATGACACATTTACATACACTATATACATTTTTGTTATCTAACTGAAAAGCTTCTACATGTAAAAAGAATTCAACATGCAACAGAAGTGAAAAAACTTGTATAAATTATTATCCAATCAAGTTCCTGAAACTATTAAACCAAAACTCGGGTGTCTTATAAAACAATATTTTTATTGCCCAAGTAAGGCTTAAACATACTATCTCCTGGTTGAAAGGTGTCTATCTTAACAAACAATACCTTATAATCATCAGAAATTGAAAGAAAAACCTTTTACAGTATTGCTTATGCAAATTTTCATTTTTTATTCATCTCAAGTTTTTTTGTGATCTACATTATGAAAGGGTCATGTGAAGAAGCTATCCAGCCAGTTTACAGAACATCTATAGCTCTTATAACTCAGGTGCCAGTTTGACTCTGAAATAATGCAGGGAGGAGCACTTGAGGTCTTCCTCCACCAGTAAAGCTTAAAAGTCATCAAATGACCTTTTCACTGTTGATGCAGCCCAAAACCAACTGCTTGCCCCTCTCAAAATTTATACCTAAACACTGTAACATATTTAAAGACATATACCAATACATATGAGAAAGAAAATCTTGTGTAAACCTTTTCATTTAAGTAGAAAAAAAAAATTTAACGAAGGATCAACTGATAATAAGTATTTAACCTGTTCCTAGGGCAGGGAAAGCAATATCTTTCATGTGTTCCTTATCAGCCTTAAAGAGGCATTTTTCTATGATGTCTAGCCATTCTTGTGCTGTTTCCTTAGCAACAACATGTATGATCTTCTGACAGCTCATTCCAGGTGCTGATGTTACAACAAGATGTTCCTTTTTCATTATCTTTCCTAAATTATAAGCATTCATTTTTATTTGAACATAACCTTTATAAGCAACATAAGATTTATGCACCTTCAATAATAACAAGAGGGCCATGATGGCCCTGAAGTCGCTCACCTGTATATAGGCCCCCGGAGCTGGTTAGTTTTAACCCCAGGGCTTTTATTTGAACAAACTTGGTAGACACCCATTAGAACATGTTTCATGCTAAACATCAAAGGTCTAGCTCGTTGGGTTTTTTTAAAAGAAGATTTTTTTAAGTTTTTCCTTTACACATATAGTTAAAAACAATGACACACCTGGGGCAGGGCCATTTTTGACCCCAGGGCTTTTATTTGAACAATCTTTGTAGACACTTACTAGAAAATGTTTCTCGCTTAATATCTAAACTCTAGCTATTCGGGTTTTTTCAAAGAAGAATTTTAAGATTTTGCTATACACATATAAGGAAAATCAATGTCCCCCGGGGTGGGGCCAATTTTGACCCCAGGGCTATTATTTGAACAAACTTGGTAGACACTCATTAGAAGATATTTCATGCTGAATATCTTAGCTCTAGCTCTTTGGATTCTTTAAAAGAAGATTTTTTAAGTTTTTACAATATGCATATAGGGAAAATCAATAACCCCCTGGGGCGGGGCCAATTTTAACCCCAGTGCTTTTATTTGAACAAACTTGGTAGACACCCGTTAGAACATGTTTCATGCTAAATTTCTTAGCTCTAGCTCTTTGAGTTCTTTAAAAGAAGATAAGCATTTCAGCTAGCTTTGAAGAAAGTCCTTCATAGAATTTACAGTGCACATACAGGATGACCGCTACCTTAAGCAGACCTAGGGTGGCATGGGTACTGCATATAACCTTTTTTTTGTGAACAGTTCAGCCAAGAATGAAGAAAATCTTCAAAGAGTATATAATTTATAGAGCTGACATGAAGTCTTCTGACATTATATCATAAATAGATTGCCCCCAAATTGTCACCGGTTGCTTTAAATTTGTATATGGCCAAGTGACATTTACAGTATTCATCGGCTACTGACTGGTTGTCGGACGCTTTTCGTTTGGTCACCAGTCTGATATTGTGACTCAGGTCAATTAGTGACCAGTCTGAGTCAGGTGATCAATTGGGGACGGACTGTCTATGTTACTAGTCCTTTTAAGGATTTTTAAAAGCAGATGTGAAATGGTCGACATTTGACCTTTAATGCTGACCTTTACCTTGTACAGTGGCATATTATCTTAAGGTATTACAACCCTTATGGGCAGTATAAGGAACTAAAAAATTGACATCATAGGTCAGCTATATACCTTAAAGTACACCAGTCCTGTATGCACAATTTAAACAAAGTTTACCGTACGGAAATCAAGTTATGGCCACGTTTCTGAACTCAAGCTAGGATGTTATGAGGGCCCTTTTTAGAAATGAGGAACCTTTAAATAATCTGCTATAACATTCTAATGAAAAATGTTTTCCCATTAATTTTTGGTAAGAAACAAATAGTACCATTCAGCTAACAATCCACATAAGCAAAATTATGGTTTCTACTTAAAATTTATGAAATCTGTATAAAAATGTTACCCTACCCCACCCATTTTTACCACGTGTCTGACCATTTTCCTACTTAGGGAGCCTAATTTAAACAAGAGCTGTCGTTAGCACAGCAACGCTCGTCTATTCTTAGTGCATGATAGTAAAAAAAGCCTTGATTAAAAGGTAATATTTTCTCAGTAAAGAAAAAGGCAAAATTTTTCTTCAAATCCATATTACAGTTATAGGTCTTGGAGAGAGTGACCTATTATGCTCTCAAAGAAGAGTAAAAAATTTCAACATGTTTTTAAGCCTTATGTCAATGAACTTTGAAAATATTTGAGGTATTACAAAAACTTTAACGTAAATTCAAAGTCGAAAAAAGGGGCATAATTCTGTCAAAATGCTTGATAGAGTTACCTCCTCCTGTCTACAAGTTGGGGTCATGATGGTCAACAAGTACATGCAAAGTTTCATAACCATATGTCAATGGACTTTGAAAATATTTGAGGTATTACAAATTCTAAGTCGAAAAAGGGGCATATTTCTGTCAAAATGCTTGATAGAGTTACCTCCTCCTGTCTACATGTTGGGGTCATGATGGTGAACAAGTGTGCAAAGTTTCAAAGCCATATGTCAATGGACTTTGAAAATATTTGAGGTATTACAAAAACTTTAAAGTAAATTCTAAGTCAAAAAAGGGGCATAATTCTGTCAAAATGCTTGACAGAGTTACCTCCTCCTGTCTACAAATTGGGGTTATGATGGTGAACAATTGTGCAAAGTTTCAAAGCCATATGTCACTGGACTTTGAAAATATCTGAGGTATTACAAAAACTTTAAAGTAAATTTTAAGTCGAAAAGGGGCATAATTCTGTCAAAATGCTTGATAGAGTTACCACCTCCTGTCTACAGGTTGGGGTCATGATGGTGAACAAGTGTGCAAAGTTTCAAAGCCATATGTCAATGGACTTTGAAAATATCTGAGGTATTACAAAAACTTTAACGTAAATTCTAAGTCGAAAAAAGGGGCATAATTCTGTCAAAATGCTTGATAGAGTTACCACCTCCTGTCTACAGGTTGGGGTCATGATGGTGAACAAGTGTGCAAAGTTTCAAAGCCATATGTCAATTAACTTTGAAAATATTTGAGGTATTACCAAAACTTTAACATAAGTGGTTACATGACGCAGACGCAGACACTGACGCTCGGGTGACTACAATAGCTCTACTTATTCTTATCAAATAGTCGAGCTAAAAATCCTTAAAATTTACCCAAATGAGTGCCTGTTTTCAATGTTTCCCTAAATTTTCAAAGAAGTATATTATTGGTTGATCTTGTAAAATATGAAATACTTTTACCATCTAGTTTTGATTTTATTACACTTTGAAAATATCAGGTACCATATTTATTACTAGATTTAGCATAATTTAGCCAATAAACACCTATATAAATTAAAAAATCAAAATTAAACAATTTTTTTTTTACAAATGGGACATGAGAGATACATAAATAATGTTAAAAGAAAAAAAGAAAGAAAGAAAAAGTTGACTCTTCTGGGGATTGAACCAACGGCCCTCATTTTCAATGTAGTTAACAGTAGTTCTAGCCTATTTGAATACTCTTCAAAGCGGAGGTTATGCATTAGGATGGTAATACCTTAATTAAGATGAATATCTGAGACATTAGTAAGAAAATACCCGAAAGACCACCCGGCTCGGGTCGATTCGTTGTCCGCTTCTAGCCGAAGCCTAACCCCAACCCCAGTCTCTACGGGTGGAAAGCGACCCTAGACGATGGCAAGAGATTTAGAATATTTATATAGCTGAAATGAAATTGTCTGACATTTGACCTTAAGTGTGACTTTGACCTTGAGCCATGGATTTGGCAAATTGCCTAGTTAAGATGAACTTATGAGCCACCCACCGCCCACACTTATGTGATAGGGTATATCATAGGGATGAAGGGAACATAAGCCTAGATTACACTCAAGATAACAAAGGTTGTTAGTCTCATGTAACTTTCCTTATTGAGCTATGCTGGCTTATAAACAGAAATAACAGCTCTCAAAATAAACAGAAGGTGCACACAACAAATTAAGCACTGACAAGGACCTGTTTTTCAACCTTACATGAATTTGACACTTCGAAAATGAACATTAATTTTATTGTATTCAATAAATCTGCATGGAAGTACATAATAATTATACAATACCTAAATACTTAAAAATATCATCAGTGAGTCTATAAACTGTGTTTTATTGCACAATATCTCACAGAATGTTTGTATTAGCTTACTTTTGTCATCCACTTCCTTTTCTAAAGCTTTGCCTCCTTTCTTCAAAATAGCCTGAGAGACATTACCTGAAATAAATTAAAGATACATGTACATCATTTTGAGCAGAAAGATCCCAGTCGAATTTAACACAATTACCATCATTGAGAAGTCTGGTTTGAATATGTTGGAAAACATAAAATATACTTTCAGCCAATGAAAGGTTTAATATTTTTTTAATGAATTTGATAAAACAACAATCAATGTCAGGCTTACCTCGACTTAAATCAAGAGCTTCATTAGAGCTATTAACTATACATTCGGTATTTTGTGCTGTTATGTCACCTTGTTGCACCAAGATTTTCAGACTTCCGAACTTGTATGCACCATCATCATTCTTAGATCCATCAACATCATCCAATGACTCGTATAAGTTCTCCTCATCCTCATCCCCGGAGTCAGCCGATGGTTTACGAGCTGGAAGAACAAAGTATACTAAATTCTTCTAAATGCAATGAATAGTGTCAAATGTATTCTTCTAACCTCCTCAAATTAAAGACTCAGCCATATTTTCCTATACAGGCATGGGAATGAGCGCACCTGCATAAGGTGAGGTAAACAACTCTCAAGTGATCATTGACTTTAAGATGGCTGCTGCCGTTGAATGAACTCTAATCACTTACAAACAAAATTTTAGATTAAGATGACATAATCAGGTGACATAAATAAAGTTTAACATAGTCAGCAGATCTGTATAAACTCAAGACAAAAATCCAATAACACTGCCAAAGCTAGAAGAAATTTCTGTACTGACTCCAGATTGATGGTTGATCTGTAGACAAATATGAAGACAAAAGAAAAACAAGATTGCATTTGTGAAAAATGCTATGCCATCGCAGTAGTACAACACTAAATATTAATATAGGAACAGAATTTTTTTGTTTCTATACAATTGAAAATAGCCAAAATGCATAGATCACTGACCTATCTAATTTTTATTATCAGATTAGTGGTTAAATCTATTGATATTCAAATAAAAGACCAGAGTAGGAATCTGTCAATGCAGTAGAGTCTAGTGAATTTGGTGGTGAAGGTTATATTTCACATGGCCAAAATTCCATGACTGTACATCAAAGGACAACACAGTAAGACACTTTGTCAAAATCTAGGTCAGCTGATATCAAAGTTCACTTTACATCTTCACCTGTGCACATGGTTCAAATTTCATAGCTGTACATCAAAGGACAAGAAAGTAGGTCAACATCATCAAAATTTACGTCACCTGATATCTCAGTTCAATTTTACGACTAAAACTGTGCACATAGTCAACATTTCATGGCTGTACATCAAAGGACAAGAAAATAGGTTACTGACCCCTTGGACAAGGCAAAATTTTGACCCATGGGTTTAATTTAAACAATCTTGATACAGGTCCACTTAACAACATTTTGAGATGATTTTTTAAGTTTTTACTATATACATATAAGGAAAACCTATGACCCCTGGGGCGGGGTTAATTTGGACATTAGAGGAAAAATTTGAACAACATTGGTAGAGTACCATTAGATTATATCATATACCAAATATCAAAGCTCTTAGCTTTGAACCTTCAGACAAGAGATTATTTATTTTTTTACTATATGTACATATAGTGAAAATCAATGACCCCCGAGGCGAGGCCAATTTTGACCCCAGGGCTATAATTTGAACAATCTTGGTAGAGGTCTACCAGAGCTGAATGCCTTATGCAAAATATCTATGCTCTAGGCCTTGTGATTCTTTACAAGAAGATTTTTTAAATTTATTCTTATAATTCCTTTTGGTTGCCATGGTAACCAGATTTCTGCATGGAACGAAATTGTTTGTAAAACTTTGGAAGCCCTTCACCCAAGAATCAATCCTGCCAAGTTTGGTTGAAATTGGACTAGTAATTTTTCACAAGAAGATTTTTCACTATATAATTTATAGAACACACAAACATACAAACACACAGGTGATTCCCTATATGCCACCGCATCGCAGTTGCTGCGGTGGCATATCAATATCAGGCAAAAGAATTTGTCAGATATAAAATCTATATCTATATAGGGCTACATCACTAGAAAATCTTAAGAAGTTATAAGGACAATATGAAAACAATGAAGAACTATGAAGAACATTTTTGGTCATATCTTACTGGTTAATAGCCCATTTAAACTTGTTTTCCTGAACAAAATATTTTCTCATATTACAACTATTAATCATCAGCAGTGAGTGAAAAATGACCATCAGACTCAATGTCTTAGAGAAAATGTCATGGACTCACTCAGCCTGTAATGCAGGATTCAAAGTATGTTAACAGTATTAATCAATGAATGACATTACTTGTAGCTCCAAAGTTTCTCAAACCATCTGTTTTACAGCTTTACATTTTCAATGCATTTTCCCACAATATTTTGTAAAGCTTTGTGTTATATGACAAGAGCTATCAGTGATCACATGTATTGCCTGATGATAGTCAATTCAGCAGTTGAATTCATAGGGGCAATTGGACAGTTTGTTCACTATATGTCACATCTACTTTGTAGCATGGTAGCAAGAGACACAAACATTGTTAACAGGACAAAAAGCTTTTTTTAATGTGTAGGCCATAGCTCAGCCAAAAATCATTGAACTGGAAAATGCCAACAATATGCACAACTAGACTTGTTTCTGATCATTCCAGTAAAATGTGGATGAAATTGCACTAGTAGTTTTTGAGGTGTAGTCTGGACAAGTTTTATGACAGACAGACATATAGACAGATGGACAGACAGACAGACCATTGAGAAGTGGCCCCATATATGTTGCAGCTACTTCTCTACCAGGCAACATAAAACTGATACATTCAAAAAGGAAAGGGAAAACAAAAACACAGAGAAAACTTGTCAATCAATCAATGTTTATTCAAACATTTCTTAAAATAAAGTTTTTTTAAATATTCAAAATCTTTCTATAAAGAATGATCAACAAAGAACAAACATGCAACAGTATTGCTTTAAGTATATTAAGATTCAATTTAACACAAGATAAATAAATCTATTTTATCAATTTATTAAGTCTTGAATAAATCATTTCTTTACAATGAACACAGTGATTTTAATATACCATTTATATAGAATTGTTCACACATGTCACATTGCCCTAAAACGCTCACCCGAAATCCATTGCAATCAAAGGTCATAATTTTTTCATGCAGAAATAGTTGCAAGTGTCACATGTTGGCCCAGTAACATTTGACCCTGGGACTATGATTTGTTTAGATTTCAACTAAATTTATGCTCAGATAAGCATAAACTGTTTCATTCATAACCACTTGAATAACTCAAAAACAAAAACTATGTTTCTAGAGACTTCAACAAAAGTATTCTTTTACATATATAACACTATATAGCATACTAATTAAAATATGACAAAAGTAAATATTGACCAACATACCAATTTTCAAAACATATTGGATATTCCATAACAAACCAATCAACATTTTCAAAAAGAAGAAAAAAGACTACCTATGGTATAGCACAACACAAACCATTCAAAATGGTTAAGACAACATAAATGCTTGGCACCTATATCACAGCTTAAAAGACAAAAAAAGTTCACTAAATTATATATACAACATTTGTGATTACCAAAAACAATGGCAAAGAATTATGGTTAGAACAAATATGTATAAAAGAAAAGGGATCATGCCAGTACATAATTGCAATGTTTTTTTCTTACCAGTACACACAAAGTAACTTTTTCTTAAATCAGTACACAATGTAATATTTTTTTCACACCAGTACACATATTAATTTTTTTGGTACCAGTACACAAAGTATTTTTTTGGGGTGCCAGTACACTATGTAATGTTTAACATACCAGTACACTATGTAATGTTTAACATACCAGTACACTTTGTAATGTTTAACATACCAGTACACTATGTAATGTTTAACATACCAGTACACTATGTAATGTTTAACATACCAGTACACTTTGTAATGTTTAACATACCAGTACACTATGTAATGTTTAACATACCAGTACACTATGTAATGTTTAACACACCAGTACACTATGTAATGTTTAACATACCAGTACACAATGTAATGTTTAACATACCAGTACACTATGTAATGTTTAACATACCAGTACACTATGTAATGTTTAACATACCAGTACACTATGTAATGTTTAACATACCAGTACACTATGTAATGTTTAACATACCAGTACACTATGTAATGTTTAACATACCAGTACACTATGTAATGTTTAACATACCAGTACACAATGTAATGTTTAACATACCAGTACACAATGTAATGTTTAACATGACAGTACACTATGTAATGTTTAACATACCAGTACACTATGTAATGTTTAACATACCAGTACACAATGTATTGTTTTTACATATGAGTTCAAAATGTAATGTTGTTGTTTTGTTTTTTTGTTTAAAGAGGTGTATCCAGTATGTGGTTTGAATTTTAAAAGCATTAGATTTATAAAGGCTGGAAATATGGCTTCAACGCCATAGAGGATATTGAATGAGTGTAGATTTAATACTAAATTTATTGAATGAGTTGTATATTATGCAAGCGCTTGCAAGCATACTATTATTTTATTCAACAAGTCTGATAAATTAAGTATTGAATCTACACAAATGTAATATTCTTTTTATCACATATATAAAATAAGAATGGACAACTGTCAAAAAAGGTCATTTTTCAGTGACGCGCCTATAATGTAACACTATCATTAGCGCTTTTACACTATGTTTGTATTTAACGCAAATGTCGTCACATCAAAGTGATATTACACTAGTGTAATATCGTTTTTATTTAATGGCTTTATTACACTTCTGCGCTGCGGTTTATGGGATAAAGCCAAGTAAAACATTAAAATGTTACACTTAACAAATATGCAAATTATTTAAATATTTAAAAAAAGTTCACTAAATTATATATACAACATTTGTGATTACCAAAAACAATGGCAAAGAATTATGGTTAGAACAAATATGTATAAAAGAAAAGGGATCATGCCAGTACATAATTGTAATGTTTTTTTCTTACCAGTACACACAAAGTAACTTTTTCTTAAATCAGTACACAATGTAATATTTTTTCACACCAGTACACATATTAATTTTTTTGGTACCAGTACACAAAGTATTTTTTTTGGGTGCCAGTACACTATGTAATGTTTAACATACCAGTACACTATGTAATGTTTAACATACCAGTACACTATGTAATGTTTAACATACCAGTACACTATGTAATGTTTAACACACCAGTACACTTTGTAATGTTTAACACACCAGTACACTTTGTAATGTTTAACATACCAGTACACTTTGTAATGTTTAACATACCAGTACACTATGTAATGTTTAACATACCAGTACACTATGTAATGTTTAACATACCAGTACACTATGTAATGTTTAACATACCAGAACACTATGT